ATGTTTCTGTATTAAAAGTCTCGGAAGAAGCAAAAATCATATATTGTGTCTCCGGTACTTTACTATCACGCTAATTCTTTAGCACACATTTTTTGCAAGTTGTTCAGGTTCTTAATATTACGAAGCATTTTTTTTTACGAAATTCTCCGCGGTTCAGTTCCCTTGTTTCCTTGTATTAGAACAAGCAGCAAAAAATAAATGATAGAGACCTGTAAAAATCATCCAGTCGTACCTGTCGGCAGACAGATTTGTAGTATGAGTACTAGTATGTCGAAATACAAAATGCCTCTGCAAATCAATGTATTCTAATTACTAACTGAACACTCTACGTATGTTTTTCATCGCATATGCAGGATGGAAGTTAAGAATCTACTTTTTCAATATCGAGGTTATCGATTCCTAACTTCCATGCTATAGATCCAATGATCATGGCGAGGCAGTCGACAGTTGGACAGCACATAGACAGCAAAAATGACCGTACAATGAGAACCGTACTAAATTTCTATCATGTGCTAGAAAGAGGGCTAACATTTTTAAGCCTTTCACTTTAAGGAAGATAGTTTGCTTATCATGATGCTTGAATAATCATTACAGACAGCGGCAAATCCAATAGGAGGGAGACTTGTGGAATTTTGGCACTCCTAAAACCCAATAATACGTATTTAAAATTACAGCTATTATCAACTTCTTGTCTAATGAAAGTCATTAAATATATCAATTGATAGCGCTCTAAATATTAACTACAAGTCAACAAATAAGTATGAATTTTATATGCAGCATAAATGAAAAATTCTTTATGAAAATAACATCAAGTGGGCTGAACAGTTTCCCTCTAACCCCACCTCCTCCAAGAAAAATCCTGGGCGTGCCGCTGCCTGTAGATAAACTATTTTGAATGCGGTATTGTGTGTGATTCGTGATATGAAAAGTCAACAAAACGACAAACCCGTGGTTAAACCACCATTACGTGAAGCTCCAACCCGCAGCCTTCCAATCCTCCTACTTGAACGCCCCGAAAACTCTGCGCCAGCCCCCAAACAGGCAAGTTGTGCTAAGACAGGATTTCGTTCCACTCCCTCTCGCCCGCGCCATATCGCGTCGCGTCCGCCACTCGTTTGGTGGGAAGATTTCGATCGGACGCGATTGCCTACGGCCGATAGCTGCGTGTGCGACCACGGCGGAACGTCGCGGGCGCGCACACGGGCGGTAAATTTCTACGAATGTGGTCGAGATCGGTCGATTGGAGCGTGGAAAAAACGCGACCGCCACTGCCGCTCCGCCTCGCCCCGCCCCACCACGAACCGCCCTGTCCGGCCCTTGCGTTTCGATTCGAAGTGTCGACACGCCGAGTCGGCCTTGAGTGGTACGCGCACGTTTCAAGTGCTTCTCTTCTGTTGAGGTCGAGAAGAGGGGAGTGGACGTTTGTTCTCGGTATCGGTTAATAATATTAGTGTAGCACCGCCAATCGCTATCATCTCTCAGCTGTTTTATTGCGGAATGTACTTGACAAAGGGTAATACGGTTTCGAGTTGCAGCGACCTCTGCTATGGTTGTGCGGAATTAATATTAGCTGGGATACAGGGGAGAAAATAAGTAAATAAGGAGAAGGTGAAGACGTAGGAGAAATAGTAAGATGAAAGATTTAAGAAAGAAAAGAAATTACATTTACCGTACATTCTTATTTTTTGACGTTTATGAATTTTGGTTAGAGTTAGTGTCATTAGAATAATAAATGTATTCTATGAACCAATGAGTAAAAATGAGAATGTAGAGAAGAAAATGTACATTGGATGCAAGGTTCGTTCTTGAATGAGGTATGGGCCATTGTAGTCTGGTTGATATCACATTGGAGTGTTGGAATGCTAATGGGGTTGTTGAATGGCCATTAGTTGAGGATGGGTTTCATCGTTCATTTGGATTTGGATAAGTGAAGTGAGGGGGGTTCGATTATTTTAATATTGAGTGGTTGGGGTTGATTTTGAATGCTGTTTGTTAAAAGTGTAATCACAGTTGAATGAGAAATTTCGTGACTTGCTTGTAGACGTTTGTTCTGGGCGATATTGTGTACACAGTATTACGCGATTATTAGGACCAAAGATTCGAATTATTTGGGATGATGAATGTCGTCACTCACAAGGTCGACACCTTTTGGCGTGAGTAGGATGCAGAACCGTGTAGGTTGACTTGTCTATGGACATCCCGGTAAATCGAGCGATAGAAAATTGAATTTCGATATTAAATCGGGTGACAAAAGGATTATTATTAACTAAATAAATACGTAGCTCTCGCCAACGGGGGTACTATTTTTTTTTGTGGTTTCATTGGTAAGAAGAAATAAAATGTAAACAGAAATATGTGATGTAATATACATGACAGGAGCAGAGCATTTACGAAACAAACTATAAAGAATTGGGTTGATGACTTATACGAATGCGACGGAGGCACGATTCCAGATGAATCTTGAGAATGGAGTAGACGTTTTCATAGGCAAGCCCTTTCTTCAAAGCGTTGTACAATAACTCGGTTAACTTAACTCCTCACATTCCAATTGCGTCATTTAATCCACAATCTGCGAAAGTGTTAGACAATCAAAACAAAGACACGAACTATATTTTTTCACAACGCCACACAAAATATACTATAGAACTATTTAAATTTATAGGATAAATGTTGGTTAATGAAATATAGTATAAAAATGAATGAGTTTGACACAAATGAATTGTTAAATGTGCCAGAGTGAAAAACGTGGCATTAAATGTGACTTTGGGAGGTAAGATGGTCGCGGGAGAATTTGGTAGAAATTGGGCCGGTGAAACAGGTTGGTAACGAATCGGCTGAAAATGGCGCGAGGTGGTGATATAGCGGGACGGCGATACGTCGGGATGGTGATGAGGAGACAGGATGTTGTGTGAGGCACAGTTAGAGAGGGCAGAGTGTGTAGCGGAGATGGCAGAGTGAAGACACAGGGAAGGCGGAAAGAGAGGACGATGGAATGAGGCAAACAGAGGAGCCCCGAGTGCAAGGCGCAGCGAATTCCGGAGGCCGTGATGGGGCCAAGCAACAGGAACATAGATGGCAGCAGTGGCTGCAGACGAGAGCATAGCACAGACACCGACGGCAATGTAAGCAGGCTAGTGGTTGGGGCTGTTGCGATGACGTGTGGCTCGAGGCGGAACTGTGTACGCGGTCGATTTCGTAGAGGCGAACAGCCACCGACACACACCGCGAAACTGTCAAACGCCACTCGAGTGTACTTTACGTCAGGCGTCATCTTCAGTGTACACACGAATGACGAAACTGAAATGCGAGAGTTTGACATTACATATATGCTTGTGCTCTGATTCATTGACCTAACTAAGAGAGCACTTCTACTGATTTGAAGTTAAATTAATTGCAACTGCGATATACTAAAACGTTCTAGCGAGATTGTAGGTAATTAAATTATTTTTTTACTTTACTCCCACATTTTCCCGTAAATTGCAAAAGATATTTCTTCGAATATGCAGTAGTATAAACATTTTGCCGTATTGCTGCACTATATCCCACAAAGTAAAAGCTTCAGGTAATAAAACTTTTTGCATCTGAGCAATAAATCTCCAAAGCAATTAAGTGTCTATTAGTCAGTATCAACATGACATATGTACACTGTATACGTACGAACGCATTGCAACTTTACCAGTCGCTGCAATTTTAAGGAGAGGACACAGAATATAGCTGCTATTTTCGAAAACGATGTTGATACGCAAGAAAATATAGTTTTACAAAATGTTCATACCTTAAAACATTGTTAAAATAACGAAGTATTAAAAATTAATGGTGTCGGTTTCAAATGAAGCAATTAACAAAGCATCACAATAACTTCGTCATTAATGTTATTTACGTCATCTGTCGGGGAAACGTGTATACAACATTCCAATTACGTACGCGTCCAAAAAAAAAGAATGAAACAATCAAAACAGTATTACACATCACAGAAGAGTGTGTACGTTTGACAATGCACAAGTGGCGTTAAAGCAACATGGATACTAAAATTTACTTACATTATTTTTTAAAAAATTACAGGAATTGTTCAAAAATTATTTAACGCTACTCAAACACTACCTTTCTAAATTACGAGAACTGAGTTTACCGTTTTCCATTGATTCTACAAGCAATTTATATCAATCAAAGGCATTGTTTCATTCACAAATATGCCACTAAAATAAAACCGATTGTTCCATTCACAAAGGTGACATAAATATAAAAACAAAAGCCGGAGAAAAAAGTAAAGATAAATATCTAGAATTTGCAGCTACAGAAACATGGAAATGACACAATTTAGTAGATTAATGTTTTATGTATTTTTAGAATTGTTACTTAATTTAAATAAAAAGATAGTAATGTGTATTTTAATATTAAACATCAGTAAGAAACATTGTCAATTTATCTTATTTCTGACCAATATTCGTTCTTATTGTCGAAGTGAATATTTATTTTCCTCTATTTATGAGAAACGATCATGCATTGTTCACTAATCGTTATTTTATTATTAATATCATCGTGAAAGTATCTGAGAGCGAATTTTCAGCTTAACTAAACGGTTCACTTCTACCTTCGTATCGGTCAATCAAGTCCTACAGTATCCCAACCTCACGTGTCCAGATCTGGAACTGAATCACAACACCTCGAACCCAACGCTCGGACAAGTCGATCAGTCCCACACAAACCCACATCCTCTCTATACAAACACCTCTGTCTCTCAGTGGCTCGCGCTCCGGGCCATCTCTCACTCAGTCGCAACCCGAACAGCGGCGCCAGGGCCCGTCCCAAGCGCCGGCGCGGCCCTCCGCACCGCACCGCACCGCACCGCACCGCACAGCGACGTCACACGTGACCGTCGGCGCCGCGGCGCACAGCCACCCCGAGCGGCGGCGTCGCGGCGCCCAGCCCCCGCGACCCACCGACCGGCACGAGCCGGCCGGCCGGCGGCCCGCACCCCGCGCCGCCACACGCAACCCTACCTTGTAGAAGCGCCGGCAGGCTGCAGGCGAACAGCAGCAGGAACAGGCTCATGGATGGCTTCATGGTGGCACTGGGTGGTGAAGACCTGGCTTCGATCCTCCGACACACACTCCTCCCTCTCTTTCCAGTCACGTCTTGAGCTTCGGTCACTGCAAACTACACCCACAGCGGTGAGGACTTCGTCATCATCACCTCAGGTTCCCTCCGAATCGCCTCACAGATTGCAGTATTCACACTGTTTCCACTGAGTTGTCAAGCACGCACACGAATTTATTATTTACAGTATTCACACCCTTACAGTATTAACACCCCTATTTTTTGCACAGTCCAATTGAGTCACATGTGTTCTGAATTTTTTAAAGTACCTAATCAAGTTACACGTCAATTTTTAAAAACAAAAAATGTACGAAATTCGACGCAAAAAATGTTCGCAGAAAAAAAAATTACGCCCTTGGTCCTAATCTACGGCACTACGCAATGGACGAGGCGCGAGGGCTCACAAAACGCTGGTCCCGAAGTGCACGAGCGGCGCCGGCGGCCCGGCAGCCGAGGAAGTCACCCGGCCTGGGGTGCACGCTGTGAGAGGCGGCGCAGCGGAAGCTCGCCTGTCAAACGCCGCCCGCAATCCGCGAGGCGTGGTCGCTCGTCGGCTCGACTCGATCAGCTCGCACGAGGGTGCGTCAGTCCGTCCGTGCGTCGTGTTCCACCAGCCCGCGGCGCGCAACGTTACAGGGCAGAGCGTGCGAAGCGTCTGCTCCCGCCCTGCCTCCGTCGCATGGCCGAGCTGGCGACCGACTGAACGCTGCGCCAGGGCCCGCGCCGCCCCTTCCTGCCTGCCAGCCCTCCTCCCGCCGCCCCTGCCCGCCAGCGTCCGGCGCGGCGCCGCGCGCACCGCCGTCCGCGCGGTAGTGTGCGCGCGGCCGCGCGGGCGCGCTTGTATTCGCGCGGGAGCGCCCGCGGCGCGGCGGGCAGCGCTCAAGCGGCCGAAATTCAATCCGGCGCGGCACGGCGCGCGCGCCGCCCCCGGCCCGCGCGCGACGTGCGACGCTGGCGGGCAGGGGCGGCGGGAGGGCAGGGCTGGCAGGCAGGAAGGGGCCGGCCGCGGGCCCTGGCGCAGCGTTCAGGTCGTCGCCAGCTCGGCATGGCGACGGGAGCAGGGCGGAAGCAGACGCTTTCGCACGCTCTGCCTGTAACGTTGCGCGCCGCGGGTGGTGGAACACGACGCACGGACGGGGACTGACGAGCACCCCTTTCGTGCGAGCTGATCGAGTCGAGCCGGCGAGCGACCCACGCCTCGCGGATTTTGCGGGCGGCGTTTGACAGGCGAGCTTCCGCTGCGCGCCCTCACAGCGTGGCACCCCAGGCGGGTGACTTCCTCGGGCCTGCCGGGCCGCCGGGCCCCGCTCCGTGCACTTCTGGACCCAGCGGTTTGTGAGCCTTCGGCCTCGTCCATTGCGAGTGCCGTAGATTAGGACCAGATGGCGTAATTTTTTTTTTTTGCGAACATTTTTTGCGTTCGAATTTCGTACATTTTTTGTTTTTAAAAATTGACGTGTAACTTGATTAGGTACTTTAAAAAAATTCAGGAACACATGTGACTTCAATTGGACTGTGCAAAAAATAGGGTGTTAATACTGGTAAGGGTGTTGAATACTGTAAATAATAAATTCGTTGCTGTGCTTGACAACTTCAGTTGGAAACAGGTGAATACTGGCAATCTTGTGAGGCGATGCCGGAGGGGAACCTGAGGTGATGATGGACGGAAGTCCTCACCGCATGTGGGTGTAGTTTCAGTGACCAAGCTCAAGACGTGACTGGAAAGAGAGGGAGGAGTGTGTGTCGGAGGATCCGACCGGCCAGGTCTTCACACCCAGTGCCAACATTTGAAGCCATCCATGGCCTGTTCCTGCTTGCTGGTTCGCCTGCCAAGGCCTTGGCCGGCGCTTTTACAAGGTTTAGGTTGCGTGTGGCGGCGCGGGTGCGGGCCGCCGGCCGGCGGCTCGTGGCCGTCGGTGTGGGGTCGCGGGGGGTGGGCGCCGCGACGCCGCCGCTCGGGGTGAGCTGTGCGCCGCGGCCGCCGACGGTCACGTGTGACGTCGCCTACTGTGCGGTGCGGTGCGGTTGCGGAGGCCGCGCCGGGCGCTTGGTGACGGGCCCTGGCGCCCTGTTCGGGTGGCGACTGAGTGAGAGATGGCCGGAGCGCGAGCCATGAGAGGACAGAGGTGTTTGTTAGAGAGATGTGGTTTTTGTGTGGACTGATCGACTTGTGCGAGCGTTGGGTTCGAGGTGTTGTGATTCAGTTCCAGATCTGGACACGTGAGGTTGGGGATACAGTTGACTGTTTGACCGATACGAAGGTAGAAGTGAACCGTTTTAGTTAAAGCTGAAAAATTCCGACTCTCAGACTTTCACGATTGATAATAATAATAAATAAGACGATTAGTGAACAGTGCATGATCGTTTCTAATACATTAGGAAAATAAATATTCACTTCGACGAAGAACGAATATTGAGTCAAAAAATAAGATAAGTTGGACTAGGTTTCTTACTGATGATGTTTTAATATTTAAAATACACATGCTATATTTTTTATTTAAAATTAAGGAACAAAATTCTAAAAAATACATAAAAAATTAATCTTACTAAATTGTCCATGCACGTTCTGTAGCTGCAATTCTAGATATTTTATCTTTACTTTTCTCCGGCTTTTGTTTGTTATATTTATGTCACTTTGTGAATGGAACAATCGGTTTTATTTTAGTGGCATATTTCGTGAATGAAACAATGCTTTGATTTGATATAAATTGCTTGTAGATCAATGGAAACGTAACTCAGTTCTCGTAATTTAGAAAGGTAGTGTTTGAGTAGCGTTTTAAATAATTTTTGAACAATTCCTGTAATTTTTAAAAAATAATGTAAGTAAATTTTAGTATCCATGTTGCTTTAACGCCACTTGTGGCATTGTCAAACGGTACACACTCTTCTGTTGATGTGTAATACTGTTTATTTGTTTCATTCTTTTTCTTTTTTGGACGCGTTACGTGAATTGGAATTGTTGTATACACGTTTCCCCGACAGATGACGTAATACATTAATGACGAAGTATGGTTGATTGCTTTGTTAATTGCTTTCATTTAAACCGACACATTAATTTTTGATTACTGGCGTTATTTTACAATGTTTTTAGGTATGAAACATTTTGTTAAAAACTATTATTTTCTTGGCGTATCAACATTTCGTTTTCGAAAATAGCAGCTATATTCTGTGTCCTCTCCTTAAAATTGCAGCGACTGCTAAAGTTGCAATGCGTTCGTACGTATACAAGTGTAATATTGCATGTTTATTACTGACTAATAGACACTGGAATTTCTTTGGAGATTATTGCTCAGATGCAAAAGTTTTTATTACCTGGAAGCTTTTACTTTGTGGGATATGTGCCGCAGCAATACGGCAAAAATGTTTATACTTAGTGCTATTCGAAGAAATTATCTTTTGCAATTTACGGGAAAATGTGAGTAAGTAAAAAAAGAATTTAATTACCACAATTCTCGCTTAGGAACGTTTTAGTATATCGCTAGTTGCAATTAATTTAACTGGCAAATCAGTAAGAAGTGTCTCTTAGTTAGGTCAATGAATCGAGCACAAGCATATTATGTAATGTCAAACTCTCGCATTTCAGTTTCGTCATTCGTGTGTCACTGAAGATGACGCCTGACGAAAGTACACCCGAGTGGGACGTTTGACAGTTTCGCGGTGTGTGTTCGGTGGTGTTCGCCTCTACGAAATCGACCGGGCGTACACAGTTTCCGCCTCGAGCCCACACGTCATCGCAACAGCCCCCAAAGCCACTACCTGTTACATTTGCGTCGGTGTCTGTGCTCTGCTCGCGTCTGGCAGCCCACTGCTGCCATCTTATGTTCCTGTTGCTGGCCCCATCACGGCCTGCCGGAATTCGCTGCGGCCTTGGCACGCGGGGGCTCCTCGTTTTGCCTCAATTCCATCGTCCTCTCTTTCCGCCTTCCCTGGTCTTCCTCTGCCTCTCCGCTAACACTCTTGCCCTCTCAACTGTGCCTCACACAAACCACCTGTCTTCTCATCTTTGGGCGACCATCCCCCGAGCTGGATGGGCGCCGTCCCGCGTATTGAGTCACAGGGGCGGGGGCTGCGGCCAATGGTTTGCGCCGAGTGGTGCGTGTGGACGCAGAGCGCGGTGGGGGTGGTCACTGTGGCCAATTTTGGCTAGGCCAGAGTTGCGTCGGCCGCGGACCATGCTGTTACGCTCCAAAGGTCATGACGGAGTTTAATGCCACGTTGTTGGCGAGCTCTGCAACATATACAATTCGAGTTGTGTGTGGTGCAATCTGCAGGTCGATTGTTGTGAGTACGTAGTAGTCGAGTTTAGAGGCAAGCTGATGGTATTCCTAATAAATTTAAATAGTTTCTATGAGTATATTTTGTGTGGCGTTGTGAAAAATATAGTTCGGGTCCTTTGTTTGATTGTCTAACACTTTATCGCAGATTGTGGATTAAATTGACGCAATTGGAATGGGAGGAGTTAAGTTAACCGAGTTATTGTTACAACGCTTGAAGAAAGGCTTGCCTATGAAAACGTCTTACTCCATTCTCAAGATTCATCTGGAATCGTGCCTTCGTCGCATTCCTATAAATTCATTCAGCCAATTCTTTTATAGTTTGGTTCGGTTAAATGCTCTGCTCTGGTCATGTATATTACATCACATATTTTCAGTTTACATTTTATTTCTTTTTACCAATGTAAAACCCCACAAAAAAAAAATAGTACCCCCGTTGGCGAGAGCTACGTGTTTTATTTAGTAATAATAATCCTTTTGTCACCGCGGAGTGTGTGGGAATATCGAAAATTCAATTTTTCTATCGCTCGATTTTTACCGGATGTCATAGACAGCAACCTACCACGGTGCTGCATCCTACTCACGCCAAAAGTGTCGACCCTGTGAGTGGTATCGCTGCAGTCATCAGTGCCCAGCTGTGAGATTCGGGGGAATGTTTGGTTCCTAATAATCGGCGTAATACTGTGTACCACAACATCGCCCAGAACAAATGGTCTACAGCAAGTCACGAAATTTTCACATTCAACTGTGATTTACACTTTTAACAAACAGCATTCAAAAATCACCCCAACCATCAATATGTGAGGAGGGAGAGTGTTAAGTCGAGACGGCTCCCGTGCACTGTCGGGCGTTAGTGCCAGAGAGCGCAAGATGAGAGCGATGAAGATCCGCGATGCGCTTCAAGTAGATGGCATTCAGACAAGCCCTCGATTAGCATATCCAACAAACATCCAAGATGATATCAACCAGACTACAAGAACCCCATACCTCAATTCAAGAAAGAACCTTGATCCAATGGTACATTTTTCTTCTCGTACGGGTTTCCTGTTGGGGTTACTCATGCGTTCAGTAGGAATACATGTGGTGATTTTCGTAATGGACGCCGAAAGGGGAACGGTGCGGGGGGGCTAACCAAAATTGAATTTAACATAAAAATAAGAATGCACATACGGTAAATGTAATGTCTTTTCTTTCTTAATCTTATTCATCTTACTATTTCTCCTACGTCTTCACCTTCTCCTTCAATTTATTATTTTCTCCCTGTATCCAGTAATTATTAATTCGCACAACCATAGGCAGAGGTCGCTGCAACTCGAACCGTATTTACCTTTGTCAAGTACATTCGCAATAAAAACAACTGAGAGATGATAGCGATTGGCGGCTGCGTACACTAATATTATTAAACCGATACCGAGAACAAACGTCCATCCCCTCTTTCTCGACCTCAACAGAAGACAAAGCACTGTCAAACCGTGCGCGTACCACTCAAGGCGACTCGGCGTGTCGACACTTCAAATCGAAACGCAAGGCGGGCCGACAGGCGGTGGGCGTGGCGGGGGACGGGACGGGACGGGGCGGCGAGGCGGGAGCGGCAGTTGGCCGCGTCGCGTTTTTTCCCACGCTCAATGACCGATCTCCGACCACATATCGTAGAAATTTACCGCCCGGTGCGCGCCCGCGACGTTTCCGGTGTGGTTTCGGCACACGCAGCTTCGGGCCGTAGGCAATCGGCGTCGATCGAAAATCTTCCCCACAAACGAGTGGCGGACCGCCGGACGCGAATATGGCGCGGGCGAGAGGGAGTGGAACGAATCCGTGTCTTAGCACCAACGTTGCTGTTGGGGGCTTGGCGCAGAGCTTACGGGGCGTTCAAGTAGGAGGATTCGAAGGCCTCGGTTGGAGCTTCACGTAATGGTGGTTTAACCACGGTTTGTTCGTTTTGTTGACTTTTCATATCACGAATCACCACACATACCGCATTCAAATAGTTTATTTCGTAGCGAGTGCGAGTGCGGCACGCCAGGATTTTTCTTGGGGAAAGGTGGGGTTAGAGG